AATAATTATTACTTAAATATTAAATTTATTTAATAATAATTATAAAGGATTTATATAAAATATTATATAAAGCTTAAAAAATCCTAAAAGCTATATACTTAATATTTTATTTATTAATTTAATAAATAAATTAAAAAAGAAACTCCTTTTATAAAAGTATTATTTATAAAAATAATAATAATAAAAAAATAAAATAATAAAGTACTTTTACTATAATTTAAAAGAGTATATTAAAGAAAATTACTATTTCTTTAACCTTAATAAAGCATTAAAAGCTTAGAAAATAAAGAAAAAGAAGAGAAAATACTTATATATATAAACTAAATTTTAATAAATTAAAGTAAAATAAAAAAATTAATAAATTACTCTCTATAATCATTAAACTAAAAACTAAAATATTAATCCTTCTAATAAATTAAAGAATAAAAAAGAAAATTTATTAAAAGAAAATTCTAAAAATTACTACTACTTATATACCTTATAAATTATCTATAAATAAAATAGATATAAGTAAAATATTTAATAACTTAAAGATATTAATTTATTAAATTTTAAATAAAAATAAATACTATTTATATCCCTTATATATCTATAATAAATATAATAATTAATATAAATTATAAAGACTATATAGAAACTATACCTATAAAATTTATACTTAATAATAAAATAAATATAATTAATTTATATAATAAAAACTATTTAAAATATTAAAATCTATAAATAAAAAGTTAAATAAAATAAAATAAGTATAATAAATATTAAATATATTAAAGAAAATAATATATTATTCTTAAATAATAACTATAAACTTAAAGTACTAAATATATATTATATACTCTTATTAAGTTTAAATATACTTAATTATAGTACTATAAGTTATATTATATAAACTATATTAAAAGGAAATATAATTAAACTTTATTTTATTAAATTTAATAAACTTATAAATAAAAATATAAGAAAAGAACCTATATTATATTAAAGTTAAAATATTTAATAATAACTATAATAATATATAAATAAATACTTTTATTATTTAAAAGAAAAATAACCTCTTTAAATAATATATATTATTAATATTACTATTTAAGCTATATAGGTTTTATTTTATTTATATAAATACTTAAAATAATAAAATAAATATTAAAATCCTTATTAAAATTCTACAAACCTTTAAATATAATATTTATTTATAAACTAAATATATAACTAAATATAATAAAAAAGTTTAAATAATAAAAATATAATATTCTTAAAAATATATAATAATATAAATAGACTATTTATACCTATATATAATAATATAAATATTATATTTTATTTCTTAATAAAAAACTAAATACTTATATAAGTATTTATTAAAAAGAAAAATAAGATTTTAAAACCTTTAAAGACTTTAAAAATAAAAGAAAATAATAATAATAAATCTATTAAAGAATTCTTCTTTAATAATAAAACTAAATTTATTAATAAAAATTTAAATTTATACTTAATAAAAATAATATATATTACTTTATTACTTTTATATATATAAAAGAATTTAATAAAGCTATAAAAATTAAATTTTACTATAATAAATAAAGTTTAAAATTTAATAATAACCTTTAATTTACTATATATATTATAAAGAAATACTTTTAAAACTATTATATATCTATATAATATAACCCTATATACCTCTTTAAATTTTAAAAGTCTTTATAAAATAAAAATAATAAAATACTTAATATTAATAATATAAAACTTAAAGTTTTATAGTTTAATATAATAATAATAAATATAAAACTAAATTAAAAGTTGAAAATAAAAGAGTCTCTTAATAAACTATATTCTTAAAAATATATATATATAAAATCTAAAATATAAAGACTAATAAATCTATATTAATATAAAATATATAAATTTTAAAAGGAAAACTCCTTAATAAATCTAATAAATTTAAAAATAAAAATAATATTAAAAGTCTTATAAAGGAAGAAATACTTATAAAAAAATAAAATTTAAGAAAAATTTCTATAAGAGAAAAATACTTATAAAAATAAAATAATAATAAAAGAGTATAAAAAGTATATTTTATTAAAAATATTTATATAAATATTATTATAAATAATTTTAATAATTTTTTATTATTTTAATAATTAATACTATAATTAAACCTTTTAATATAAAAAATATTAAATTCTTTTAAAAAAATTTATAACTTAAATCTATAATAAATAAAAAGAATAATTTAAAAATAAAATTCTTATAAAATAATTATACTATTAAAAATAAGATAATATTATTTAATAAATAAGTATTAAAAAATATATAAATAATTTTAATATAATAAAATCTAACTAAATAATTAATAAAGAAAAACTATTAAATATAAAGTTAGATAAGTTATTTATAACTATAAATAATAATTTAAAATAAATTTTTAAAAACTTTTTAATTATTTATAAATTAGAAACATATAATATATTATTAATTATAATAATTAATAAAGGTTAATATATATTAAGTTATAATATAAAAATACCTTTTATACTTTAATATAAACTATAAAATATATATAAAACTCCCTAACCTTATATATAATAAAAGAATATAAAAATAAGGTTACTTTATTATTAAAAGCTATATATAACTTTAAATAAGTACCTTTATTATAATATAAATATTTAATTAATATTCTAATAAAAGTTAAATTTAAAATATATCTTTATAATAAAAATATATTTATAAATATAAATTTATAAATAATATTTATATATTATATAAATAATATAATAGTTTTAAATACTAATTTAAATATTATAAATAATTTAATTTCTTAATATTTAAAAATATAAATCTAGATTTCTAAAAGAATTAAATAATTTCCTAAAAATAATATTAAAATTAATAAAATAATAAAATTATTATTATAAATTAAAATTAATATACTTTTAAAATTTTATAAAATTTAATATCTTTAAAAATAATTATATTAATAATATTAAAATAAAACTAAAATTAATACTTTATACTCCTAAAAAGCCTTAAAAATATAAATTAAGCCTTTAAAGAAGAAATAAAAGTTTTTAATAATAAATAAACTCTTTTATATATTAGTTTAAAAACTAAGTTAGATATATATTTCTTAATATCTAAATTAGCTAAATATATATCTAACCTTAATAAAAATACTTTAAAGAATAAAATAAATTATAAAGATATTTATTAAAATTTTTAATATATATTAAAAATTCTAATATTTAAAAGAAAATATTTTATATTTAATAGATTATTATAACTTAAATTAAAGTAATAATATAAATAATAGAAAATCTACTTTAAGTTATATATTCTTTTATTTATTAAAAATATAAAATATTTAATTTTATTAATTAATCCTTCTAATAATAAAAACGCTTATATTAAATATTTATAAAGTTAAATATATAACTTTAAAAACTATTAAAAAGAAATTTATTTATATAATTTATTAAATTATTTTAATAATTTTTAAAATTAAAATATAATATTCCTAAAAGTAAAATGTATAAAAATAATAATACTACTTTAAAATTAACTAAAAATTAAATATTTTATAAATAAATTAAATATATAGATATTATATATTACTTTAATAAATATATAATTAAAAATCCAATTAAAATTATTAAAATAAATATAAAAATAACTTTATAAATTAATTAATAAAGCCTATAATTAAGCAAAATTTAAGTTAACTAAAAAGGTATAATTTATATAAAAAATGAATATAAAAGTATTTTAAATATATATAAAAGGTTTTAAAATAAAAAGAATATTTTAAATAAATAAATTATAATATCTACTATAATACACCTAATAAAGAGAAGTATTTTCTAAAAGATAATAAACTCTTTAATAAAAATACTTAATTTTTACTCTCTATAAATAAATTATTTTCTCCTTTAAAAACTATAATTAACCCTATATATTAAAAGGTTTTCAACTATTAAAAATTCTTATTAAAAAGTAGAAATTTTTCTATATTTTATAAACTATTAATAAATACACTAAAAATATACTAAATAAACTTTAAAAACACTATTAAATAAAAGTCTAAAATAACTTAAAACAAAAATCTAAAATAACTCTCTCAACTTATAACACATAATACACTATATACTACTATAACCACTATACCCTACCTATACTTATAAACCTATAAATTTATATATATTTTATAAATTTATAATATATATAATATAATAATCTAAATATAATAATTAAATTATATAAAATATACCTATATATAAATAAATATAATAATATATAAATATAACTATAAAATCTTTCTAATAAAATAACTATAATTATACATTAAAAGTTCTAAATTTAATTACTAATACAATTAAACTTTTAAACTTTTAGTTTTTATTCTACTTAATAAATTAAACTAAAAATTACTAATATATATATAATTTATATTTTATACTTATAAACTAAACTTTCGTTATAAAGGTTTTATTTAATTAAAATACTAATAATTATAACTATTTATTATATTTTTATCTCTTTATAAAAATTTTTCTTAATAATAAATCCTTAAATTTAAACTAAAAATACCTATATTTTATAAAAAGCTATTTAAATAATTATATATATCTAACTTTTAAAAAATTATTAAAATACCCTATTTATTAATAACTTTATATCTATTCATAACCTAATATAACTACTATTTTAATCCTCTAAATATAAAACACTAACTTATATAAGAAATACTTATTTCTCTTAATTTCTATAATATTCTAATAGGTATTTAAAGGATTTACTTTTATCTATAAAAGGGACCGTCCTCTCCCTCCTAGATAGGTCTATAGTTAAGAGAAATCTATCCCTTCATTCTTACATTGAGTCAGTGCGGACTCAACAAACAGCAGCCGGCCAGCCCTGGAGGGCTGGGCAACTTCGTACATAGAACCCTGAACTTTATGGAGTAGATGTGTTGTAATGATGAAAGGCCTCAGTCAGCTCGGTTAAGCTCGATATTGCTGCCTCCGTTGCGTCTCTGCTTTTCGTCTTAAATCCTTGGTATGGTATGCCTGCCTCCAGAACCGTTTGTGCACATTGTCTCGGACTGCCTCGTCGGTGTACCTGAGCCCCTGCGGGAAGAATACTTCCAACATGGCAAGCCCGGCCGTGGGCACCCACTTCTCAAGCTCAATTAAGGCGCCATGCACCCCGCCTCCGGCACGGACGACAGTGTTGTTTGTAGATCGGTCCTCAAGGCCTTGCCCACGGGCCTTAGAAAAGAACATTGACACGGAAGATCGAGCACCATCCCTGCTGCCTGTGTCCACTGGACAAGGGACTGGTTCCAGCCAGCTAGGCACTCCATCCTCTCTGGACATAGATTCCAGCCATCTAGGCATAGTCTGACGCCGATCTGTCTTCTCGACAGTATGAACTGGCATTGTCTTCTGGGATGAAGCGGAAACCCACAGAGCAAGCTGGGACAGCACATCCTCGGTCTCCTTGAGATCAACCTCGGGGTCAGCCACATCTTCATACGTGGTGCGTATTCCAATAACAGCCGGGACACGGGATGGTCCTCGGAGAGGGAATCTGCCAGCCTCAGGCGCCCTTGAAACCCCAGCTGCGAAGAGGTTCTGCAGCATCCCTATCCCGCCGATGCCAACGAGGAACCAGGTGTGAGAATCAATGCCGGACACGGTTATAAGTAGACAAGTCCACAAAACCATCAGTCCAAGCGTCACGCCCCTGGTCTCGGGGCGAGCAATGAAAGAGCCAAATCCTCCAAGTTCCAGGCACCTGGAGATGCGATGAACACCATGATGTGACGACTTCCATTCCCGCGGGTCAGGCACGTCACCCTGTGCTTCTGAACGCGTTTAGCAGCCCATTTCTCCTGGATCCACTGCGGCATGGCGCACGTGACAATGGCAAGAAACGTCCCGCAAAATGTAACCAATGCGATCGTCCAGTCGCCATAAACAATCCAGGGGACAATCGCAATCGCAAACTGAACAAGCACAGTGACCCACCCCAGCCACCAGACCACATCCAGGGCAGGCGGCACAACCGGCAACTGCTCAAAAACATCCACCCGCAGCGACTCAGCTCTGCCCCCCTCCTCAACAGCCCGACTATCAACCTCATGCCGGATCTCATGATCCCGCAGCAGCCTCCCGAGCGCCCACGACCGGTTCTCCCGCGCGAACCCCGTCGCGCAGTTGACGAGGATGCAAGGGTGGTCGCACGGCGGCATGAGCGCCATGTCGCCGAACGCCGCCAGCAGGCTCGAGAAGCCGTACGCGACCCAGCCGAACGAGAAGGCCACGGGCGCGATGGAGATGGCGGGCCCGCGCTGCCCGAGCGGCCGCGCCTCGTAGCCTACCAGCTGCGCGATGGCCTTTTGCACGATGTCGCCGCCGAGGAGGAGGAGCAGGCTGAGGATGTCGCGGGGGTTGCCCCATTGTTCGCGGAGGTCGGCTTCGGTGGTGCTCATTGTTTTTTGTTTGGGGGGGGGGGAGGGGGTTGTGACGGGCCCGCTGGTGTTGGTGACACGGAGTCTCTGCGGTGGGGTTTGAGGCTGATATGACGGCGAGGATTAGCCGGGGAAGTATTATGTAGTTATGTAGGCACCAGCTTTTGGGCTGGCGGGTTCATTTTGCCCGGTGATAAGCGGAATTTGACAGGGTTAAATAATGGCTTCTGGGTTTCTGCAGGCTGTGGTCAGCAAGTGTCACACAAGGCAGAACGGGGCAAGACTGTGTGAGCTGGCTACTTATGCAATGCAGGGTGGGTGGGCTGGCCGAGGTCGCCACTTTATTTGGGGTGCCCTGCATCAGCTCCTCCTTTGCTCCCGTAGGGCGAATCACTCGGGCATATTCTGCCTACGATCTACGACACTTGTCTGGGGCGGTGCGAAAGAATTGAATCAGTTCCGCGCCTGCACTTTCGCCCGAGTAAAAAGGTCAATCACATCGGAAAGCTGATTCATTGTGGACCTGTGTATCAGTATTATGTCCTACGTCCAACTTGAGTCCTAACACATTGTGTTGAATTAAATCTCGAGGCCCAACCCTCCTTTCGCCATTATAATTGTATTAATAATCATGTCAAATTTTATCAATGGGGGAACCAACATTGTTTCGTCAGCAAGTGGTGTCACCCGCCGGGCACCATTCCAAGATTGAAGTTCGGGTGCCTCGCAATTTGCATCGCTCTTCCCTCAGCTCGCTGGCGGCTAATTTATGGGATACGGAAAACTATGATTTCAAATCTGGGCCTCATGTTCTACCGTGCGCTTGCTGTCTTCTGCGTTACTCTTCTGTTTCTGCTCCTGGATGGTATGTACGCGGCTTTCAAACGAAATATTTCTGCTTCGACACGCGTGGGCATTTGCCATACCATGGCACTGCAACCAACCGCTGGGATTTCTCGAATCCCATAAGACTGTATTCTCTCAGATCTCTTGCCTAGTATGTTGCAGCCACGATTTGCCGGTTGCTTTCCGATCGGTCCGACACGGAACATGATTTGTGGGTTATCGAGAGAGCACTGATAGATAGTAAATGAGCCTGGGGACCCTTCACATAGAGAGTACATGTCGTGTGCTGATGAGCGGAGACCATCTTGGATCTCCCTTAAGCTTCGTTAAGCATAGGTCTCAATTCACTCATGTCAGTGACACTGGCGATACGGAAGGGAGGGGTTTTCACGCCAGACAGTCACCACATCCACACCTGCAAGGCCGCTTTGGATGGTCACTCGTTCTCCAGAGTCACAGGCCATGCCAATGGCCGACATCTCCGCTGAAATATTTAAAGCAACATCTCCCAAACACCTGCTCCCACATGCAATATAATCTCTCAAAGCAATCTCGCGAAGAAACAACACCCAGTGCAATCCCAAACCCCAGCCTCGAGCGACGACGCAGTTTCGCGAACAGCATCTATCAACCACCGAGTTCTATGAAATCATTATCGATATGATTTCTCTCAACCTTTACGCCGCCTGTGCACTCTTCCTTCTCTTACTGGACACCACTTGGGCTGGAGAGTGTTATGGCGGTGGATACAAGTTCAGCGATCTGGTGAAAGACACCGATTTCAATGGTACCATTGACAAGTTTTGTCAAAAGTACGATGGCAATAAATATAAGACTAACAACAAGGTAAGGGAGACTACGTGCGGTATGCGCTAAGACTATAGCGACAATACGCTCACAGAGAACGAGTTCTAGATTCCAAAGGATTGTATCGACACCCCCAAATCGAACCTGAAAGGGCACATTGACATTGATATTGAATTCTTTGTCGAGGATGAGTCCGGATGGGCTCAGTTCACTTTGGACGCGTGTAGGGAAGTCGTGTACCAGGTAAGTATGACCGCCCCCGTGGACCCCAATAGCATCAACTTACGATGGAGGGCACATCGATAACAAGTATAATATCGGCACCAGGCAGCGCAGAAGTGTAAGCAGGGAAGTCCAGGCGTCACCATCTTTTAGAGATCGGAGATTCGCAGGGCGAAAAACGGAGGGTACAGGGCAAGAAGTACCACCAGCCAATTAGAGGGCTTTATTCAACCTTATTACACCATCCACACCACCCCAACCAAGTGCCTTTTACACCCTAACCTATAAACCTACCAATCCTCCTTCACCTACCCAATAACACTTCCTTACTAACCACTTAAAATATATAATACTTATTAAATACTTAATATAATTAATTATTATAATATTAAAAATATATTTTTAATAATTAAAATTAAATTTTTTAATATTATAGTAATATTATATATTTTTAATTATATTTATTTTAAAGTCTAATAATAGATAAATTATTAAAATTAAAATATTTATATTATTATTATAAATAACTATCTTCTAGTACTTTTTTAATCTTTTAATTATTTAAAAATTTTTATAATAGATATAATACTTATAAAAATTTAAAGGTTAATTTAAATAAAGTTATAAAATAAATTAATTATATAATAGTTAAAGAGAACTTTAGTTTAATATATATATATTTATAGTATTATTATAATATTAAATGTCTAACTATTATAATAATAAACTCTTTTTTTAATTAAAGTTAATTGTAGCTAGTTAATATTTACTTATTATATTATAAAGACTTTTAATAAATAAATCCTTTATTTTAATAATTTAAAATATAATTTTATAATTCTAAAAAGTTATAAAAGTTTAATATAGTTAGGTTAAGTTAATAAACCTTTAGTGTAAATTCTTTACTTGTATTATTAAAAACCTTTTAATAGTAAAGTTAAAAAACTTAAATAAGTACTTTAATAGTAATAGTTAGGTATTTATTTAAAGGTATATACTTTAAAGGATTAATTAGTAGGTTAATATAAAAAAGTAAGGAATTCATATTTTAATTTAAATTTTATTAACTTTATTTAAAAAAGTATTAATATTATTTTATTATTAATAAAAATAGTTATATTATAGGTATTTTTAATATATAAAAATAATTAGTTTGGATTTAAAAGAATTATTTTATATAATACTTTTAATAAACTATATTTATATAATAAACAATAAAAATACTATATTTTTAAGATATTTATATAATATATATAAAAAGAACTTATTTTTATTTTAAAGTATTATTAATAGTAAAAGGAACCTAATTTTTAATAGCTTTTAAAATAAGTTTATAGCCTCCTTTACTATTATTAAACTAATAACTTAATAATTTATATAACTAACTATAATACTACTTTAATTAATATTTTAAAATATAAATTTCTTAAGGTATATTATTAATTATATATTTTTATATTAACTTAAATATTACCCTATATATTAAGAAAAAATAAAAAAAGTTATTAATAATAGAGATAAAAGGAGAAGAAAGTAAAGAAAGTAAATAAGAAAGAGAACTTAGCTCTAACCTTATTTAATATACTAGGAAGGAATAAAGCTATAATACCTATAAAATCCTAAATTAAAAACATTCTTTATATTTATTAAACTTTATTTAACCTTTTAAAATTATAAAATACTTAACTAATTATAAAATTTATAATATAGCTTAATAATACCTTTAAAAGAAGTTTTTAAACTAAGTAATAATTATTAATTACTTTTAAACTTAATATATTAATAAAAGGAAAGAATTATTACTAAATAAACTACTTATAAAATTTATAAAATTCTTAACTTTAACTTATATATAACCTCCTCTATAAAAGCTATATATTAAAAATTAAAGGTTTTTTAAATTATAAAATAAATAATATCCTCTATTTAATTAAAGCTATTAATAAGATAATTACTAATAATTCTTATATTTTATATAATAAGAAAGTTTATTAAAAGATATCCTTATTAAAGAAGTTTAATAAATAAAAATAGTTAAATAAACTTCTATTTTAAGTTTTATAAATAGTCTTTAAGTTTTTATAATAATAAAAACTATATATTATATATATTTAAAGAGTAAGTTTTATAAGATAATTACTTATTTATAAGTTATATATACCTTATATTTATTTAATTTAATTTACTTTATATAAATTAAATTACTAATTATAAGGAAGTTAGTTACCTCTTTAAGAAAATAAATATTTATAAATTTTATTAGTTAAATTAAAACCTTTTAATTAAAAACCCTTTTCTTATAATTTAATTACTAATAAAAATCACTATTATAAAAGGATAGTTTTATAAAATAACTATATTTATTATAAATAAAAGGAATCTTTATAAATTATAAAAATTTATAATAAATAAAAATAATTTTAATAACTATTAATTTAAATAATAAAATAGGTAATAAATTAAGAGTAATTATAGCTTTTATATAATATATTAACTTAATATTTAAGTAAAATAATAAAACCTTTTAATCTTTAAATTAAATTAACTCTTATAATAAAAAACTAGTAAAAATTATTTAATAAAATTAATAATTAATAATAAAATTTATATAATTATTAACTTATTAACAAATAAAATAATATTTTATAAAAATAATCTTATTAATTTTATTAATAATAATAATATTAATATTTAAACTAATAATTAAAAGCCTTATATAAAGGCTTATAGAATTATTAACTAACTATTATAAATTAACTTAACTATAAAAAACCTTATTAATAATAAAAAGAAAACCTAAAAGGAGATTATAATACTTAAGTATTTATTAAAATACTTTAAATAATAAAAAGGAAAAAAGTAGTAAAATACTAAACTAAAAATAATAATAAAGGGTAAGAAATTAAAAATTAATAAAAAAGTATATAATAAATAAGTATAAATTTTAGTTTTATATAGCGTATTAATAGTATAGATTAAAGTTGGTGTATTAGGGGTATATCTTGCTCTATACCCTCCGTTTTTCACCCTACGAATCTCCGATCTTATCTTTTATGGGGATCTACACCTCTCTCCCAGACATTTGAGCACTGCCAGCCATCAGCGGGGTGAATGGGACAGCGCGAGAGCTTATGATGGTGGAGTCG